GGGATGGGGGGCCAGGACTCCTGGGTTCCCCGGAGGCAGAGAGAGGCCCCCTGCGAGCGGGGGGTGGGGGGCCAGGACTCCTGGGTTCCCTGGAGGCAGAGAAAGGCCCCGTGCGAGCAGAGGATTGGGGGGCCAGGACTCCTGGGTTCCCTGGCGGAACAGACAGGCCGGGTGCAGAGATGAGGGCAGGGCTGGTTTATTGGGAGTTAGCAGGTTTACAGCGCGGTATTCACAGCTATGTACACGGGGGGGGCAGCCCCCTTGTCACCCCCCCACTCCAGCCAGGCCGGGTACTGCAGGGGGGCGCCGATCTGTTAGCCTCTGGCGCCCCCCGCTGGCCTTTGCTACCGCTGCAGCCGGCCCCACACGCCACTGGGGGGGAATGGGGTCAGATCCCCCCCACACACACATCACCGACCCCAGCCCTGAGGGCACTGTGGGGGTGGGGGTGTCCCTGTGGCCGGGGTCACTGGGAGGGCTGGGGCGACCCGGCCACGCCCCCCTGCGTCCCGTTGGCTTTGCCGAAGGGGCTGGGGGTGCCGGGGGGGGCTTGGGGGCTGTCCCCAGGCTCCTGCTTGATGGTGGCGGCGGGGGCCAGGCCGGGCAGCGCCAGGCCTGGCGGGGCCGAGGGGGAGAGCTGGGGCCCCCCCGCTTTGCCCCCCTCGCCCGGGGGCGGCAGCGAGACCACGATGTACTTCTGCAGGCTGCCCGTCACCGTGGCGCTGGGCGCCGTCTGGGCCGTGGAGACCAGCTTCACCACGGGCTGCACCCCGGCCGCCGTGGTGCTGACGGGGGAGCTGGCCGTGCCCAGGGGGCTGCTGCTGAAGGTGATCACCTGCGAACGACAGGCGGGGGGTCAGCTGGGGGGGGACAGACCCCTCCCACGCCAGCCTGCCCCCCAGGACCCACCCAGGGCAGCATGGGGGAGCCCTACCCTTCCCCCCACCCCCACCTGCCCCTCAGGACCCTCTCAGGGCAGCATGGGGGCATGCCCTCCCCCCACCTCCCTCGCCCAGGGCAGTAAGGGGGAAATTGCCCTCCCCTCATGCCAGCCTGCCCCCCAGGGCAATATAGGGGAGCCCCCCCTCGCCAGCCTGCCCCCCAGGGCAGTATGGGGGAGCCCCCCCTCCCCCATTGCCAGCCTGCCCCCCAGGGCAGTATAGGGGAGCCCCCCCACCCCTCATGCCAGCCTTCCCCACAGGGCAGTATGGGGGAGCGCCCCCCCGCCCCCCATGCCAGCCTGCCCCCCAGGCCCCTCCCAGGGCAGCTGATCCTGATAGGCTGGACACCAGACAGCTCTGAGAGGAGGGATCCGGAGGGGAGGATGTGGGGGCCGAGGGGCAGCGCAGGCTGGGAAGGGGGCTCCCTGACGCCCCGGCTAAGGGCAGGAGCATGCCAGCCCCCGGCGGGGTCAGAGCTGGGCTGCGGAGCGGGGAAACTGAGGCAGGAGTGGCACAGGGCCGCGGCTGACCACTGCGCTGTAGCGAAAACGTCCCCCCCCCTACCTGCTGGGAGGCGCTGCTGCCGGAGGCGGAGGACATGACAATGTACTTGGTGGGGGGCGGGGAGGGCTGGGTGGGGGTGGAGGGGCGGCCGGACACCAGGGTCTGCACGGGCAGCGTGATGGAGCTGGGCACTTTGATGATGCTCGGGGCCCGCGGGGGGCCCTGGGGGGCCTGGGACAGGGTCAGCGTCGGGCGGGGCTGCCGGGGGGAGACGGACAGACGTGGTCAGACAAACCCCCCCCAGTCCCCCCCCCGTCCCCCCCCCCCCCCCCCCCCCCCCAATACGGGCCTCAGCCCCACAGCCTTCTCCCTCGCAGTCCCCACGGGAACCCCCCTCCTCCTGCCCCCCCACGGACTCTCACCAGCCTGCCCCTCCTAGGTCCCTCCCCACTGACCTCTGCCCCCCTCCACCTGGATCCCCACCCCAGAATCAGCTCCCTGCCCCCCATGACATCCTCTGCCCCCCAGCTCCCGGTTCCAGCCCATGCCTTGTCCCCCCGTGAGCCTGCTGCTCCCCCCACAGCCAGGTACTCACCCCCAGAGCCAGCCGCCCGCCCGCCCCTCCCCAAAGCGAGGAGCCAGCCGCCCCCCATACCTGGGTGATGGTGAGGGTGGTGCGGTTGACCTGCTGGGCCTGCATGGCGGCCTGTGCCCGGGCTTTCACCACGTGGGTGCAGAGCAGGGAGCCCAGGGAGCCGTAGTCGGCCTTGTACGAGTCCTGGTTGTCGGGCGGCGGGCGGATCTTGGCCAGCACCGGGGCGCAGTGCTTCTGCGGGGCGGGCGGAGGGGAGAGGTGAGCGGGAACCTGGCAAGCCACCAAGGAGGTGGGGGAGGAGATGTGGAAAGAGTGGGAGGGGCCCAGGAGAAAGGGGTGGAGCCCCAGGCAGTGGGACCAACCAGAAAGGGGCAGAGTCTCATGGACTGGGCGGAGCCAGAGAGAAGAGGTGGAACCCAGGAAGTGGGAAGGTCCAGAAAGGGGTGGGGCCTCATTGACTGGGAGGAACCAGATGGGGGAGGAGCCCATGAGAAAGGGGCAGAGTCTCATGGACTGGGCGGGACCAGAGAGAAAGGAGCAGAGCCCAGGAAGTAGAAGGGGCCCCAGGGAAGTTGAGAGCAGGAGGAGAGTTGGAAGGAGATACTAAGTTGCACCCCCAAATACGGAGCCCCCAGGCCACGCCCCCCCCCCCAAACCCCCCCCCCCACCCCAGGCCACGCCCCCTCTCCCCAGCGCTCACCAGCAGCAGACTCTGGACGTGGTCGGCCCCGATCTTGTCGATGTTGCTGACAACCGGCCCCTCCACGATGCCGCGCACCCGCTCGCCCTCCACCTGCAGCCGCGGCAGGATCAGGGTCTTGATCACCTGTGAAGAGGATCTGTCAGCTGGGAGGCCACCCCCACTCCGCCCCTCCCAGCATGCCCCAGGGGCCGTCTCCCCCACCCCCCACCGCCACCCCCAGCAGACCCCGGGAGCCCCCTTCTCCCTCACGGGCCCAGGGTCTCACTCACGTCGTGACCCAGCTCGGCCAGCCCAGCGATGGAGCCATACCGTGTGGTCCAGGGCGTCTTCTCATCCACCCAGCTCTGCGGGGACAAAGGCGGGGTGAGTCCTGTGCCCCCAGCCCCCCCCCCCCAAAGGTGAAGGTCTTGGTGATGCGGGACTGGATGTCGGTGGTGGTGGTGCTAGGCCCTGCCCCACCTTGGTGAAGGTCTTGGTGATGCAGGACTGGATGTTGGTGGTGGTGCTAGGCCCTGCCCCTCTCCCCAGGCCCTGCCCCTCTCCCCAGGCCCCGCCCCACCTTGGTGAAGGTCTTGGTGATGCGGGACTGGATGTTGTTGGTGGTGGTGCTGAAGTTCTTGCAGATCTGGGCGATGAGGCGGGCGGCGAAGTCCCGCAGGGCCCAGTGATTGTCCACGTCCGGCCGCAGGCAGAGCTGCCGGCTCACGATACAGGTCATCACGGCCGGGATCAGCTCGTGCAGCTGGGGGGGTGGGCGCAGGGGGAGAGGGGTTAGCTGCTGCCAGGACCCAGCCCCCACCTCCCGCTGCCCATCAGGGCTCGCAGAGGGAAGAGAACCCAGGAGTCCCGGCTCCCAGCCCCCCCCCGCCCCCCCATAAAGCCGAGCCAGGACCCCGGCGTCCAGGTGTCCACTCACGTATTTCTCCAGGTACAGGGTGGGGTTGTCCATCAGCGCCTTCACCATCCGCATCAGGTAGATGAGCAGCGCCAGGTTATTCTGCACCACATTCACACGCACCTGGGGGGGAGACCTGGTCAGGGGGACGGCGCTGGGGGGCTGGCCCAGCTCCCCACCCCCACACGGGGCTCCCCAGCCTACAGGGGACAGGGAGAGTCACAGCCTGGGGGGCTCACCCAGCTCCCCACCCCCCCATGGGTCCCCCCCCAGCCTAGAGGGGACAGACGGGGGTCAGGGATCACACCTGGGGGGGCTCGGCCCGGCCCCCCCCTTACCCCTTCGGAGATGAAGGTGCTGAAGCGAGGTAACATCTGGTAGAGCCCGGGGTCGGTGGCGATGCTCTGCAGGGCCTCCTGGGGGGGCAGAAAGAGCGAGCGGCCCGTCAGCTCTGAGGGGCCCGGGGGCGGGGGCCCTGTCGCACAGGCTCTGTGGGGGGACAGGCCAGCAGGCACCCGTGGGGGGGTGGGAAGAGGGAGGGGCACTCACGGCTCTCTTGGCCTCGCAGGAGCCCACGCAGGCCTCGGTGATCTCCTTGTAGTACAGCTGCTGCTCCACCGACAGTTCATGGATACTGCGCGGCTTCAGCTTCAGCGGGGCCCCCTCCAGCACGGGGGCCTTCTTCTCCTTCCCTGGGGGGGCAGGGTGTGAGCAGAGCCCCGCCCCCTGGGACATAGCCCCGCCCCCTCCAGCATGAGTGCCTTCTCCTTCCCTGG